CTCTCCCCCTCCCCCGGGTAAGAAGCAAAGTATGGGAAGGCACCAGGGGAGACACTGCTGCCGCTCCACAAGGTGTCCTCCATCCCTGCCCACCTGCCTGCCCGCACGTACATTCTTTCTAAATACCCCTGGGGGTACGTGTACCCCTGGTTGACAACCCCAGCCCTAATGCAAAGTAGAATATGTTTGCTGTGCATTAGCATCACAAAAAAGCATGCACTGCTGCTACCACTCAGTAGTACTAAACTTACAGGAACTAAACAATGAGCCGTAATTGTGGTACATTAATAAATGTGTAGATGTTCCCACATGTATCTACCTCAAAAAGGAAATTGAGCAGCAAGGACATGAAAAGCTTTTTGTCAAAGAAGTAAAAGAGAGTAAAAACTGAATGCGTACATTTATTTGTAGGATTAGACTGTGGTGCATGGGTGGAAATGTAATACAGAAGAGGATAGGAAGCCTTCCTCACCAGCCTTATACAGTAATCATAACTTAGGAAGATAACCAGATAACCAGAAATGCCAAGATGTGATGGGATTGGGAGGTGCAAATTAAACTTATATTTAGAAGTCAAAGAGTAAAGCAGTTCTAGACCTACCTGCATTATGAATCATTTTTACCTATGTTGTTGGAACTGCAATGTAAAGGATGATCCTGTCTATGTTGAAAAGTACAAGCCTCCACTTCCTTGCATCATGTATCCCTACACAAAGTAGGGACAAAAATACTTACCCATCTCAGTCTGTGGCATTATACTCCACCCATTTTTCACTGGTGTAAATGATTGGTGTACATAAATGTTAATACTTTTAGTAAAGGATCATATTTTCTGGTTTAACAAGGTCTAGCTACAGAGCCATTATTACTGTTACTGGTGATGCTGCCAGAGCCAGAACAAAAGGATAGCTGGACTCTTGGATCCCAGTTTGACTCAAAATAACAGAGAATATGAAAAGAACTAGCCCATCCAATATGAAAAGAACCAGCATTCAGAATATACCCAGAACTGGGCATATTTCATAAAGGATCACTGAGAAGCAGCAAATGTGGAAACCATGTTGACAGTTTTAGAGAGGAGCTTTAGAGTACAGTTCAACGTTAAAGGCTTGTGTTGCTCTTCTCTGTTAAAACAAGGGGGCTGCTATGCAGATGTTTTGGGTTTAGTTATTTTGCTGCCTTACGACACTGCATTTTTTCTTGGTTGTAAGCTGCATTGAGTGCAACTAGCAACAGCAGGGTCGAAAAGCTTTACATAATAAGCAGTGGCATAGTTGTTCATGCAAACAAGGTGCTGCAGTACTGAAGTTAGCTGCTTGGTCTTGTTTTCAAGCAAGATGCTAGTCTTAATGCAAACATTATGTAATACATCTCAAATGCAAATGCATCATCCTGTCCCCATAAGTAACGTTATTACCGATAAGAGGACGCTGAAAGCCAAACTTTGTATTGTGATGCTGCTCTGCTTTTATGAGAACTAGAAAACTTGCTATGACACCAAAAACTAAGATAAAAATGTATCTCTTTTCTCTTATGTCTTCCTTGTGGGCTGGATTTGCATCTTGAATCCCCATTCCTAAACAGAGATCTTGATGTGCTAAGTCTTTCGTCATTAATGATGGTATCTATGGCAGAACATTGATTTTAGAAGAGCAGACACGTCAGAAGAGCCTGTGAGATGATACAGTATGTTTAGCAGCTGATGCCTTTCTGCTGATGAAGGACAAGAGCATCTCCAATAGGGTTGCCAACCCTCTCAGATTGGCTGGGAGTCTACCAGAATCAGTATCGCTCTCCTGGTGACTATTGAAACCAATCCGGGAGATTTTAATAGGATATTTTAAGAAAAAAAAAATCTCCCTGAATAGCTTCAGTCAGAGTTGGAAACCCTCATCTCCAACAATGAATGATGGTCTTATTGGTCTTATTTCAGGAATGGTCTTATTCCTGTTTTACTCCTTTTAATTTCCTAAGAAGGTTCCTAGCTGTGCTGGTAGCTTTTGTGATGTAAACACATTCTATCATAAGGATTAGAAACATAAGTGAATTTCCAGTAATTTGCTGGAAGAGCTATGCAAAGACTGGGGTCGTTATTGATTGTACTGTATTTTAACTTGTGTCTGAGAGGTGAAAGGTTCTGCTTTATTATTGCCAAATCTCTGACCATACAGTGCTGTTAACATTGTTTTTGTTTTTGTTTCAATTGGAAAAGAATTGTTCAGAGAGAAATGTTTGCTCAGGCATTTATAATTGTGTTTCAGAAGCTGACAGTTGCAAATAATATCATGAATATTACACGCACACAAACACAAACACATACGCACATATATAAAAATATGCAAATTAAATTTAAATCAGTTGTCATCAGTCAGATCCACAGGCCACTGGTGGGTTACTGGCTGACTTGTGCTGGCGATTACGTGGGTTCTGTCTCGTTTGTGTGCATTTCCATCTGTAACTTTGCATTAAAGAGCCAAAAAGTATTTGCCTTTACTGTATGTAAGCAATTGTTGAGGTTGCCAGAAGGGCATTATGCAGTCACTTGTAGGAGCAGAGATACTCTGAATAATATGAATGGAAGGGAGGTAATCCCCCTTAGAAGCTCTCTACAAGCTGGTTCATATTATGAAGAAAAATCTGAAAATCCCTGATTTAGAAGGTTGAACACAGTATGATGCATGGGAAGAATCACTGTAAAACTGTCTGGAGATGAAACCATCTGTAACCAAAAAAGGCAAAAGGAATCATGATTCGGGTCTGGTCACATCTATTTTCCATCTGCTTTATCACATCAGAGATGGCCACTTGTCTCAGGATCAAGCCAAGAGCTGATCTTTGAAAGTATTCATTGCAAGAAGAATGCCTGAATAAAAATTTCCATTTTCCTAAATATGATACGCTTATTCATGTGAGTCATTCTCTATTGGGGAGGGGTGTAAAAGGAAAATTCTCCACACCATGGAAGTATCCTGTCATTTTGAAGTTTAAGGTCACTAAACAGAAAGCAGAAGGTTACTTATGACAGAAAGGCTTTCTGCAAAGGTTCACGACTCACAGGAGGGAACTGCTGCTTGCTTGAAAGGCCTAAAGAGGCATACAAAGTCAGAGAGGTCCTTCCCAGCAGACTACTTAACAAAGAACTGCCCTCCTTTCTTTGTGTCATACTTATTTAATCCACCATAACTGGACTTTGATGGAAAGAAGAATACTGATGATAGGGCCAACGATCCCTACTGCCTTTTTAACTACTATTTAGAGAAAGCAGTGTTTGTTTAAAGAATGTTGGAGGCATGGGATTTTTGAAAACTATACAATTTAGAGACATAATACTTTAACTTTTTGAAAAGCTACAAAACACATTCCCATAATAAAATATCCTAAAGGGCTAATTTAGCTTCCTTTATGAAGATGGCTATTATTAGAAAGACACATGTATACTCTTTGCTGACAATGAAGTTCTTACACCTCACCTTTTCACTATAAAAATGAATCATGATATATTAAGGAGGAAAAGAGTGCTGCCCTGTGCCTCCTTTACAGACAGCTCTTGTACTTAATTGGCACTGTAAAGAAGATTCTGCATGCTACTGCTGTTAGTTTACCCTAGGTACAGATTTTTTTTATAGTTTAGTTTTATTAGAATTTTTTTGGCAATCATGAGGTTGTTTGTCATAGGTGGTCCTGATTCTAAATCCTTTTATACCAGTGTAAATCAGTATTAACCACATTGACCTGAGTGCACTTGCAGTAATTCCAAGTTAATATAAGAACAGGAATTAGGTCCTTTAAAACAAAACTACAAGGGAAAATATAGCACTTGTCGTTGAAGTCCCATTTTGTTTTCATTAGCTGTTGCTAAATGCAGTCTTGTATCTTGGCAAGAAATGAAATTCATTAGCTTGTATTATGCAGTTTTCTTTTTTCTTTAGAAAAATAGGTTGTTTTCATGATCTGCTTGGAAAATCAGTTTTAAAAGGTTCAGTTCTGTGCATACAGTTGATATTTTTTCCAGCAGAGGGCAAGAAAGTATAACTAATAGAAATGATGCTGTTCTCTCTTACTTTATCCCTAGCAGCTGCATCTGAAATGTTAAACTGTATAGCCTGAGGAAGGAACAAGAAAGCTAAAACCCATCCCTTCTTTAGATCATAATGGGTTTTAAACATGGTCTATAATTCTTCAAGGATTTCCATAGGAAAGACAAAATATAATAAAAGAGCTGGAGAGACCACCAGGACTGCCACCTGGCCCTGGGTGCCTTGTTAGAGCTATGAAAAATATTTTCTTACAGCTTAGTTCTGATTTTGAAGATGTGTGTGTGAAGGCTGTGTACAGTGTCTCTTCAAATCAACTACTCTGCTAGCATGCAGATGCTCATTAGATGTTTAGATGGCTACACTATAGGCTTATGCACCACTGCATATCCAATACACGGTTAATATCCCTGGGGCATGCTATAGATTTTGAATTCAAACATGCAAGGCTTGATTAAACTTCCATTCAAAGTAAATGGCAAAACTGTTATTGACTTCATTTGACACAGGTGTAGTCTGTAGCCTTAGTTATTAAGGTTCAAACAATGCAGTTCTTAATGAGGCAACGCTCCTATGAAATCAGATTTAGATCCTAGAACTTGTTTGTAATTTAGCAGCAAGTATTGAGGCTTATATTAATGTCTCTCAAACTCTTCATTGTCACAATCAAACAGGAAAAAAAATCCATAGCCATAAAGCGAGAGTGGTTGTCACTTCTTCATGAGTATCCCTAAGTCATTAGCAGGACAGTGACTCCGAGGTGGAGCATCTGAGAGTCTGATGGATAAACCCAATATTCAAATTAAACGTCTTGTTGCTTTCTTTGTGGTAACTTCCATTGCTTTTAAAAGTTTGGAATAAAAATCACCTGAGCTGATGAGCAAACGTCTTGAACTTTTTTCTCATTGCTTCCTAATTGGTTAGATGAAATTACTTTTCTTATGCATTAAAGATCTTAGGCTCTGTTCTGATCCCACTCAGTTTGCTGAGAATTTTGTCACTGACTACAGTGGAATGATGATCCTGGAGTACTAAGAAAAACAACATTTGGCATTGGTGCTCAGGTACTGTGTCGCTGTGTTCACAGAGTAAGAAACTAAATAGAACAGAAGTGATTCTAAAAGTGCTAAAGCTTTTACATTTAATAAAAAACAGATGTTTCATATACTTACTTTGGTCTGAGAGAAAATAAAAACGATATTAGCAGAGAATAAGCTATTTTTGGAAAATAATTTGCTGTATTTTCTTGTTTAAAGTGTTCCCAGTCACACTGGAGCAATACAGTATGGATCTAGGAAGAAGCAGTATGTCTTTTGCCATAAATTCAGTATTCTTCATCAGTGAGGTTGTTAGTTATGATTGTACTGCACAAGTCAATAGTTTCCACATGCACATATTAATTCTGACTTAAGCCTCTAATAACAGGTGCTGGTTATAAAGAGAGCAATGTATTTTTTGAGCCCTTGAAGTAAAACTGACATTAAAAATACAGTTAGCTTTGTAGCTATGATCAGCAGAAAAGGTTGTGTAATATCGACATCTTGATGGTACTACTACATTTATTCTCCTTCAGCAATGTTCATATCAAATGTGCCCCGTTTACAAGCTCAACTTGCTATCTGTAGATCAAGCTGTGTTTATTTTTCTGCTTCATATGTTGTCCCCAAGCCTGTGGGTTGTTTACAGTGGAAATATAGATTGATTTCTGGATAAAGACTTGTTAGATTTAGGTTTGAGCACTCCTCAGATTTCTCAGTGCTTTTAAAGTATTTTGGTCATTAAACCACCCCCTTGTTTTCTTGCTGCTCTTACACTATTTTCTCTCTTTGCTGCATATCTTCTAACATCTTTATATTTGTAAAAAAGGAATGTATTATGTCATATACTTACTTTTAACTAACTCCTATATTTTCTCTTCCAAGACAAACTTTTCCCTGTAGAAATCCATCAAACCACAGAAATATTTCCTTGACTTGCAATAAATCAGATCATTGACAACAGTCTAATATTAGGGCTATCATTCTCTATTATGTCCACACTTCATTGAGAAATACTGGATAATGTTGGTTATAAGGAGTTATTTGGCCTTATTTGCTCTTACTTGCTCATATCTGCATAATGAAGCGAGGGAGAGGAAACTACTATGATTTCTGTTACTGGCACATGCTCTATCAGAGTTTACAAGAGCAGAAGCTCTCATGTAGGTAAGATCACCTCTGCCATGCTCTCTGCATATCTTTCTTTTCTCTTACACCAAAGTTAGAACGGTACTGGCCTAGAGACAGCTATGCTGATAGGGGTGGGCAAAATGGTAGAACCAGCCAGCGGCCAGACTCCATTTCCTAGCAGCCCCTGCCTGTGTGGTTGGGGCTGCTGGGAGACCCCAGCAGCAGCTGTTCTGTGATAGCATGAAGCTGGGATTTCCACGAAGACCGGCCCCAGCAGCACTGGCAGGATGCATGGCAGGGTGTGGAGCTGCTCTGGAGCTGAGTTGGGATCTTGCAGGTGTGACAGCGTGGTCCAGAGCTGGGCAGAACCATGATCTGCAGCAGCGGAATGCAGCTCTTCCCCAGCTCCTTGCAGTGGTGACAGTGTGGTCTGGAGCCAGGGCAGTGTCACGATCCACTGCTTGCACGTCCCTGCCAGGGGCATGCAGACTGCAGATTGTGATTTTGCCCTGGCTGTGAACCATGCTGTCACCACCACAAGACCCCAGACCAGCCCTGGAGCAGCATCCCACCTTGTTGTGTGCCCTGCCAGCAGGGTTGGTGCTGGGGGGGACTTGGAAGGCCTGTAGCCACCCTCAAATTCCCCATTGCACCCTGTAGCCACCCTTCCCAGTGGTTCCTCCACTGCTGCTGCCTGTCCTGCACAGGCGGCGGCAGCTGAGCCCACCCCACTTCTGCCTGCAGTATAGCCCTGCCCTCAACCCCCCACCAGGAAGAAGCTGCCACTGCTGCTGCCTGCCAGTGCTGCTGGGGTCGGTCTCCACAGAAACCCCAGCCACACGCTATCACAGTGCACCCTCTATCCGGGTCTCCATGGAAACCACTGCAGCCACGCAGGCAGGGGCTGTTGGGAAATGGAGTCCATGGAGCGGACTTTGCCCACTCCTGTGATAGATGTTTCTCTTACCTATGCTTACCTGTGGGTTTGTCACTCATCTTGGCATACTATAAAACAATACTTTCAGGAACACTCTGAAATGGAGTTGGTTACACAACCTTAAAAATACTTGTACTTTTGCAAAAATTTAACAAAACAAAGTTCTGCTTTCACTGAACATGGCATAAATTCAGAATGGGCATATCTACATGGGCATATTAATGCCCACAAATTAACTCTGGTGCTTATCACACCAAAGTGTATTGCTCTAGGGAGCATGTCTTCATGTATGCTTGGGAATGCAGCATGTCGAGCAGGGGTGGAGCAGTCCTGACTGGCAGGGGGCCCAGTGGTCCTGCCTGCCAGCCCAGGGCTGCTCCCCTCAGCTCAACATGCTGTGGAGGGGCTGGCTGGGGCAGCATCTACCTGTGCACTGTTGCAGAGTTTTTTAGATGCATGACATTTATGTGCAACTAATTAGTCTACTGTGCAGTAAATGTCTTGTGTAGATGTGCAGAGTAATCTCTTGATTGCCCCAGTGGGCAAAATTCAGTTCACACAAGGATTTGTAATGGTGAAAGAAAGTCTTCAGTACAGTGCAAGAGTGAAAGACACTCATACTTGCCTTGCTCAGCCAACTTTTAAAAGTCTCTGTAATTGAATAAAAAATAGATCAGATTGTTTTCTCTCGTTTCTTTTCTTGTTTTTTTTTTATTGTTTTCTCAAGGGCATGCAATAGTTCAGTCTTATATTCTGCACTTTGTGGATAACTGCTGCATCAAGGAACCTCTGAAAGCCATCTGGTGAGTGATATTGTTCTGCCATTTTTTTGGCCTATCATGATGTATCATTTCCCTAAACATAATGCTTGGTTCACCAACTGGGATACTGTTTTACTCAAGTTGTTTTCTTTTTTCTTTTTTTTAAATCCTATCAGATATACAGAACAGGCCACATAGCATGTTTTTCTATAGTATTTTTGATAGTGTTTACCATATGTTCTCTCCAATTTCACAACAAGAACATATGCATATGATTCCCTAGCTCTCTGTTACAACGCCAATGCTTATCTGAGACATCTCTGAAGGATGATGAGTAATATGACAGAATAAAGGTCCTGTGAGGGTAATTAAAACAAATCCAAATGTTTTTCATAGATTTCATAGACATTAGGGCTGGAAGGGACCTCACAAAATCATCAGGTCCAGCCCCCTGCCCAAAGAGTCAGCAGGGGTCAAATGATCCCAGCAAGATAGGCATCCAAGTGTTTCTTAAAGTAGTCCTGAGTAGGTGCCTGCACCACCTCTTGGGGGAGTTTATTCCAAACCCTGGTGACTCAGACAGTAAAGAAATTTTTCCTTATGTCCAGCCTAAAATGGTCTTCCAAGAGTTTGTGACCACTGGACCTAGTCCTCCCGTGGGGTGCTCTGTTGAACAGACATTCTCCCAGTTCCCAGTGCACACCCCTTATATACTTACAGGCTGCCACCAAGTCACCCCTGAGCCTACGGTTCTCCAGGCTGAAGAGTGCCATATCTCTCAGCCTCTCCTCATAAGGCCTGCCCTCTTGTCCTCTAATCATTCACATGGCTCTCCTCTGTACTCTCTTGACCCTCTCCACATTCTTTCTGAATTGGGGAGCCCAGAACAGGACACAGTATTCCAGCTGTTGTCACCAAGGCCAAGTAAAGTGGGAGGATGCATCAGAAGATGCAGGCCAGAATTTTGTTTGGTTTGCTGGCTGTGGTGCCACATTGGTGGCTCATGTTCACCTTGTGGTCAATCATGATCCCCATGGGATGTTTTAAACAGATCTTTTCCTAATAACTTTGAACTGATCTTTTCCTAATAATCTCCAGTAACCTCCTACTAGGGCTGTGCAAAGGTTCAGTAGCTGATTTGATTCGGAGGAGATTCAGCTCAATTCGGGGACTAAATTTCCAAATCCAGATTGAATCAGGAGACCAATTTAAAGCTCCAAATTGATTTGAAGCATCCAAATCAAGTCAGAAAAGATTCAGCAATTCAGCCATAGATTAAACATCTGACACAGTTGCCTCCACCAGAGCCTCCACTCTGAGTGTTGCCACGCCCGTATATGGTCCCCCACCCCCTTCCTGAGTAATGCGACCCCCCCCCCCATCCAGCCCTCTCGCATGCTTCTTCCTCCCTCTTTCCCCCAACCCCAACAGACTTACCAGATAGAGGCAGCTATGTCAGCTGTCTGTTTAGCCTATGGCCGAATCTCCCAAGCAGCCCCAAGTCTTTCAGATCTGATTTGGCTGAATTGACTTGGGACAGTGATTCAAATCTCTGAATCGAATCACTGTCCTCCAAATCGACTGAATCCAAATCCAAAGCAAATCAGACCAACCTCATTACCTTCTACGATCAGGTCACAAAAGCATTGGATGCAGGTGTCATGGTGGATATAGTCTTTCTGGACTTCAGCAAGGCCTTTGACACTGTCTCCTACCCCATTCTCATCAAAAAACTAGGTGACTGTGGCACTGATGCCTACACAGTCAGATGGATTGCAATTTGGCTGAAGGGTCGTACTCAGAGGGTAGTGGTGGATGGGTCTTTTTCGACCTGGAAGGAAGCGGGCAGTGGAGTCCCCCAGGGCTCAGTCCTTGGTCCCGCACTGTTCAATTTCTTTATTAGTGACTTGGACAATGGGGTAAAAAGCAGCCTGTTTAAATTTGCTGATGATACCAAGATTTGGGGTGAGGTGGGCATGCTAGTAGGGAAGGACAGATTATAGCAGGACCTGGACAGGTTACAGGGTGGGCTAATGAAAATAGGATGGGTTTCAATACTGACAAGTGCAGGGTGCTTCACTTGGGCAGTAGGAACCACCAGCACACTTATAAGCTGGAAAACTCCCTTCTTTAGAGCACAGTGGCAGAAAGAGATCTTGGAGTCATTATCGACTCCAAGATGAACATGGGCCGACAATGCGAGGTCACGGTTGGCAGGGCTAACCAGACCTTATCGTGCATCCACAGGTGCATCTCAAGCAGGGCCAAGGAGGTGATCCTCCCCCTCTATGCAACACTGGTCAGGCCACAGCTGGAGTACTGTGTTCAGTTATGGGTGCCGTACTTCAGGAGGGGTGTGGACAGCATTGAGAGGGTCCAGAGGAGGGCCACCCACATGATCCGGGGACAGCAGGGCAGACCCTATGAAGAGAGGCTACAGGACCTTAACCTGTTCAGCCTTTGCAAGAGAAGGCTGAGGGGGGACCTGATGGCCATCTATAAACTCACCAGGGGGCACCAGTAGGGTTTGGGAGAGACCCTGTTCCCCCTAGCATCCCCCAGGGTAACAAGGAATAACGGCCATAAGTTGTTAGAGAGTACGTTTAGACTAGATATCCAAAGGCACTACTTTACAGTCAGGGCGACTAGGATCTGGAACCAACTTCCAAGGGAAGTGGTGATGGCTCCTACCCTGGGGGTCTTTAAGAGAAGGCTTGAGGTCTACCTGTCTGGGATCATTTGAGCCCGGTTTTCTCTCTTGCCCAGGGGAGGGGGTCAGATTTGATGATCTACAAGGTCCCTTCTGACCCTACTTCTATGAATCTATGAATATTTGCCGCTTCACACAGGCCTACCTCCTACCTGTATCTCTAGGCCCCTTGCTTTGTATTTTAGACAGGGTGCATCTACACATGCATTTTACTGCAGAATAGACTAATTAGCTCCACAGTTGCTACATCTACATGAGTGGTGGACTGTGCAGTTGTTACTGTGCAGCCATTTAGTACTTGCATAACTAAGTACTAAATAACTGTACAGTAATTGGCATAACTGCACAGTAGTGTCCTTACATGGTTTTTTTCTGATGCTACTGCTCAGTAGCATCTTATGTAGATATGGCCAGTAAAGTGTCACTATCTACATGTGTGCCAGTTTTAGGCTCAGTAAACTAATTAACTATGCCATAAGATAGTACTGTTGTGGACAGTACAATCTTATGGTGGAATAATTAACTGTGCTGAAACACGTGTCAATGATGACTGAGCAGGGGCCAGCCTCCTGCCTGCGACACGACTCCTGCATCTTCATGCTCTAGTCAGCCACTCTGCCTCCCAACACTAGAAGGCAGAGCCTGGGGATGACCCCCATGCCCTCTGTTGGTCTAGGCTGCTCTGCCTTAGCTCAAATTGATGCTGTCCTGGGCACATGTGTAGATGCTGCACCCAGGAGCAGTTTACTCTGGGGTATGTTGCTTTACTTTAATTTTACATGCAGATGCACCCACACAGTTGTATCTGTATATATCATGGTTGCTTAAGGATCAAGAGCCACCCCTTGTGATTTGAAGATGCAGGAGCTTTGAAGTACCCAAGTGTTTTCCAGCAAATGCAATGTTGGCGCCCCAGTCTTTTGATTGTAGCCTATTGTGTGATGGGTTGAACTGAAAACCCAGAGACATCAAGGAAGTTGCAGTAAGGTAAAAAAAGAGGTGGAGACTTACTGCATGCCCGCTGTTCTGCAGCCGGTGAATCCATGCCCCACACAATAAGTGAAAGCAAAACTATGGTAGCATAGCCCTCTTCTGTTGAGGGAAAAATGGCTATGGTTTAGCATTCTTTTTAGCAGTCTTAAACTTCCTGTGTTTAAGAGTGCATAGGTAAAGAGGGTTTCTTTCTGTTTCCTTCCTCTTTGTATAAGCATCCAAATATGGTTTACTCCATGGGATTTTTGGTCATCTAAGTGCCCATAATACCACTTATGCACAGATTCTTTTCCTGGGCACAAGGCAAAGCACATGTAAGCAGCTAGGCTCAACTCTCTAGTGACACAGACTGAGCATGCACAGTAGCAGCTGAATTGCTATGCACACCCTTTGAGGATGCATGGGAGCCTTAGATATATGAAAATGGAACTGGATAAAACCCATAATTACCAGATATAGCCTCAGAAACAGGAAAGCGGTGTAGGAGGTTGCTCTTTTGCCTCTAGTCCAGAGGGGTTTTGGACTTGGATGTTTCAGACTTCCAAGCACAGTACTCTAGGCATCATGCCCTAAGTCAGTCATTAAGCTACCCCTTCTCCTGTGGTCCACTTGAAGCTGAACTACCACATAACGGTCATTTGATAAAAAGGGTGCAGGGCATTGCATGAGAAGCTTTTTCCTCATTGGGAGCAAGGGTCCTAGCCAAAATCCAGGCCCATTCCCTTTTAGGCCAGCAGCCACCTCACTGAGCTGCGCAGCCTCTGGCTTGTTCTTTCTCTCTTGGCCCCACACACCTACCCTTCATGGCTGCCTAGGGGCCAGCTGCAAAAGGAGCACCAGAGAAGGCAATGATGACTGACCTGTGGCAAGGTGGTAAGAATGCTGTGCTGGGAAGTCTGGTTTGGGGGCCAAGGCACATGACTTATGAGGAGAGGCTGAGGGAAGTGGGCTTATTTGGTTTAGAGAAGAAAAGACCGGGGAAGATTTGATAACAGCCTTTAACTACCTGGAGGGGGGTTCCAAAGAGGATGGAGCTAGACTCTTCTCAGTGGTGGCAGATGACAGAACAAGGAGCAGTGTTCTCAAGTTGCAGCAAGGGAAGTTTAAGTTAGATATTAGGGGGAAAAAAAACAAACAAAACTTTCTCCCTAGGAGGGTGGTGAAACACTGGAATGGGTTACCTAGAGAGGTGGTGGAACTTCATCCTTGGAGATTTTTAAGGCCCAGCTTGACAAAGCCCTGGCTGGAATGATGTAGTTGGGGATGGTCCTACTTTGAGCAGGGGGTTGGACTAGATGACCCCCTGAGGTCCCTTTGAACCATAATTTTCTGTGAGTCTATGCTTCTAAGTCAGGGAGACTTAGCTTCAAATAAACTATATGTGAGGTAAGTGTCCAGTTAAGTGTCTGAATAACTGGGAAAAGATGGTCTTTCTCACTTTATTGCCAGTGCATATGCCTAGCCTGGGCATATACATAGTCATCCACACATACAGGGCTATGTGTCTAGACTGTGTATAAATGGCATTTTTAGCATTTAGATGACTATGTAGATGACCAATCAGGATGCCTAAGTGACAGGAAAGATGCAACTGATATAAGGCAAGTTCCCATTCGTGAGAGCCAGTCTTACGGGTGGGCAATGTGGCTCAGGGTACATTGAGGGTCCATACCTCTCTGCTTCCTGTCCAGATTGTGCCCCATGGCCCTGTTCACCTGCCTCTGCTTTTGCCTCTTCCTGCAGCAACACTACTAACTTGGGGCAGGGTGATGGAAGTTGGCTGGCTGCAGGTCTCAGCGATGATGGGGAATACCTGCTGGATTTAGTGGAGAAGGCAAGCTGTAAGCACTGCTCACCATCCTGCACCCACAACTGGCTCTACAAAAGGGAATCTAACTCAAAGAAAGGGTGCCAAAATACAAGTTTGCACAGGGAGCCGTTTTCCCTAAGGCCAACTCTGCCACTCCTCCCTTTTAATATACTCTAATTTGATTATTTGTCTATGTGTTTCCTACGTTCTTCCTGAGTGTGCAATGTAAGATCTAAGTTATTACCCTTTGAGGTTTTCAAGGCAGCATAATTGAATAATAATGCAGTTTCTGCTGAGGTGTTTTTCAATGAAGAGTAGAACCCCCTTAAGTTTTACAAAAACCTCTTTATGGCACATTTTATTTTAAATTATGTGAATTTGTACGTATTTGTGAAATGTAGCTGTTTCTTTTAAAACTTCTAAATCCTTTACTGTAAGTCAACAAGATCCTCCTCAGTCCTATGATGGTGAAATCAGTAACATTATGTTTTCAAATTACTTGATATGTAACAATATCCACTGAATAAAGATTGTATTTGGTTCAGTAGTTTTCTTACATAGTGTGTGTGAATTTGCAAAGGTCTAAGAATATTTGTTAAGTCTTTGAATGCTTGAAGGTTGATCTGTCCCATACATTAGAGGGATTTACATTGACAAGAAGTTGTATGCTGTTTAGAAAACTTGAATGATAGATTCTCATCTCAGGTTATCTGGTGTGTGACTGAATTCCATCATCTTAAGAACACGTACAAGTAAACAGGCATTCTGCAGGAATGAGTCATGTTATGCTGAAGATACTTTAGTGAGTACAATGAATTTCAGAGTAGAAAAAAACTTTTATGTTTGAAATATAGGGATTTATCACCAAGCATAGTTAAAAATAAGAAAAAGTGACTAAAGAACTGCATGAATAGCCTTTGATAAAGGCTTTATTTGTACAAGAAACACCAATTGTTGGTGTTTGATGCTCTTTTCTATCATGATTTGCCTTTGTGGATGTTTGTACTGGCAAGGGTAATTCACTATTTATGGTATGCAGAATTCATTAACATTAGTCACTGTACTGTGTTTTTTAATCACCAGCAACATGTGTTCCTGGGTACAAATTTGCATCTGTCATACTAATCATTTTGCTGGGGTTTAGTGACTAAGGCACTTTTCTAATGAGTTTAAATGACACCAGTTTAGAAATGAGGAAATCTGATTTTTAATTGATTACATACCTTACCTTTAGATCTATTCCTCTAGGCAAATGTAAATCCAGTGACTGTCATTTCAAACATTTTCAATATGTATCACATTTAGCTAATACTTATGTCCTTATTTTGGATTAGCAATATATTTGGAATAAAAATATAGCAATATAGGAGATAATTTCTAGATGATCTTGCCTATTTAAAGCTTAGAAGCAACGGTTGTGTGCCAATAGATTTCTTATAACTTTATGATACCCTAAATTAATATGGAGAACAGAATAATTTTCTCAGAGTATGAGGAAAGGAGGCATCTATTCAAAGTTATTTACTTCCATAAGTGTTTGTAGCTCTTGATTGGTAGTTCAATATAAAAGAAGAATACACATCTGGCTACATGTTCTTTCTGATAGTCTAAGCAGACAGACCAAGCACTGAACCAGAACCAGCTGTTCTCTCCTTGCAAGGAAGGAGCTTGGCATTACCACATGGTGACAAGGAAAAAGAAACTTGCACTTCTGAAGCTCCTTCTCCATCTGCTCTTTGCATATTAGATATTTCTTGTCCATCTCCAGGGTTTATAACACTGAAGGAAAACTAACAAATAAAATAAACTTCCATCAAAATGTAAAGGACCAAACCCAAACCAATGCTTCAAATAACCTGTCTGTTTGGTAATGCTGTTTAGTTAAACATACTTGGTGCCTTTTTAAAACAAAATGTATTAGCAATATGGAAAATATTAACATTTCATAAAAACATGCAGTTTGATCTTACACCAAATACATATATAGGACTTTTAACAAGAATATAGATTACAATGTTAAATCAGCATTTTTTTCTGGCAGGCACAGCATGTCTAATAAAAAGTGAATCAGAGAAGAATCTTTATTAGTCTTGTTTAATTGGAATAAAATTTTTCCTCCTTTTGTTGGATTTGGGAGCAATACTTTTATATTTTCCATGAAACTTTTTAACATAAAACTATGTTTGGATATTTGACAGAATAAAACATATTAAAAAAACTGGTTTCAAATGAAAGAAGCTAAGCTAGATTGTATTTGGAAAAATGTAAGTTCTGTAACACAAACTATCAAAAACAGTTTCCATAGTCCAAAATATACAGTAGAAAAGGTGTTTTAAATGAGTATTTAATGAGCAATAAGTCACTGAAGCACCAGTTATTGCTGGCACTAGCTGGAAGGAAATGAAAATGAAGTGCTAAAAGTAGAAAGATATCTCTTTTTATGAACTACAACTTTTTGAAAAAAGTAACAGATTACTTTAAAAGTACAGTTTCATTTTTTTAATTATACAAACATGAGGCTTCATAGGCATTTGAAATGGCTGTTTCAACGAAATGGTTGCATGTGTTAGACAATATAAAGATGATAAAACTCAATGGCACCATTTAGTGGTCTGATTTTACAACAAACATTGCAGGATAAATCCATTGAAAGGTGACCATATATTTATTTTTAGTTTTTTGATTCTGTTGCTGTTTGGAAGAATGTATTTTTTATTAGTGGATAAAGTCCTGATGCTCTTTCTGGCAAATTTTCTCTTGTATTAGTATGGTTTATTTACTGATTACAATTTCAAACTTCCTCTCAGGTCATGTTTTTTCTCCTACTTCACCATAGATGAACAGAAGTGCTGCACAACTCCCTAAAATTGTAGGCTTCCAACTATTTGACATTGAATTAAGACCAACATGTAGGAGCCTTTTGCCAAGTAGACTGGTAGTTAAGGCACTTGGCCAGGGTAGTGTCCAGGGCAGGGGAAATCCTGCAGGGTAAGTGCCATGGAAACAGAGAACTAAGAGAGTACCTTACTCAGCATCTCAGGGAGGTGGAGACTACCATGTTAAGGGAGTGTGAGCACTTCTTTCCAGTGACATCTGCACATTTTGCTTTACAGAGTCACTGGAAAAGCTGCATATACAGCACTGGGGACAGAGAGCATGGTGCTTCATCTGCTAAGAAACTCTCTTTCCAGAGGGCTAGAATAGATGGCTCATATTTGGAAATCTTGCTAGTGGAAGTTCCTGCTATGGTACACTGTGGCATTTGTTCGATATGCTCTGTAAAGGTTTCGGAACCTATATTGTAAGTTTCATCTGGGTCTGCCTTTTCAAACCCAGTCATGATCATCTTAAAGAGCTGTACCAGTTGATGTGAAAGGTGTGGTAAAGTTGGGGAAGATTGGAAAAATAGAAATATACTAGATAAAGACAGCCCGGTAGACTTAGTGGCTGATTCCAAATGGAAAGAGTATGTTGTGAGGGCAATATCACAATACCATCCCATTTCAGAACAGTATTCCCTGTATCCAGTTCTACCTACTTGAAAAGTCATAGAGAAGTAGGGCTGGAAGGGACCTCCAGAGGTCATCTAGTCCAACCCTCTGCAAACATCCCTTACAAACCATAAAGTCCTCCATTAGCATCACGGTATGTTTTGTAGACCTAGAGGTAGAGCTAGTAGAGAGGCAACTGTCCTTTAAAGGTCTCAGTTGGTGGAACTTACAGGCAGCAATTACCTTGTAGCAAAACCCCCAGTTTCTTTATTTTTTTTTAAATATATTTATTTTAAAATGCATCCCTTCCCCTTCCCCAATCATTTCTGACTTTTTATCTCCCTCTCTTTTCCCTATAGATAAGTATAAGTAAGCTAAGATGTAGGGTAAGCTTTAAACATTTTTATTTTGGTAGCAAGTTTTTGGTTTTGGATATCCACTGTTGTATATTGTATTATTATTAGGTTTGTATTGATTTTTACTGTTGTATATTGTATTATTATAATTTTTGTATTGATTTTTATTATTTCATATGGATATTGTATGGTTTAGGCCTGTGTTTTTAAGTGAACCAAAGTCATGTCAAGTTTCCATTTTATATGTCAAGCCTCCATCTTCTGTCCTCTGCCTGGGCATCCCATGTTGCAACTGTATGAATCACGTACCCCTCCCATGTAAATTAGTTCCCTGATGAATGAGTGTGATTGGGAATGATTGAAATACAATGGTAGCAGGCCTCTACTAAATGGCCTGTAATGACTGGGCCATCATCTCGCATTGATTCACCCAGGAACCACAGACCTCACCCAGGAACAGAGACAAGACCAGCATTTGAAAGAGAAAAGACCATGCAAAACCAGAAACTCTCATCATTACAGACACCCGAAACGGCACATCCCTACCTGGAGCACACATGCTCATTACGCCAGGGGCTAACCCTTGCCTGGGCATGCCTCCTGTTGTTGTCCCCAAAGGACAGTGAGTTCGTGCCCGGTGCGCTTGTGCCAATAAACACACAGGGGTGAAGGATCCAACTTAACCTTTATTTCCTGCGCAGAAAATGGTGCTTGGCAATCGTTCGCAAAGCAAGCACACCCACCCCAGTGGGCGTCTGCCTTATATAGCTACGTAACAGGTTAAACCTGCTGATGTGATGACATGTATAGCAAGCCCAGCAAGTAACCCCCCTTCCAGCTCCCCCACAAGTAACCCCCCTTCCAGCTCCAGAACTTTGTTGATACAGTCATGTTTTACTGAATCCCAGTCCCTTCCCTATCTTAAATTCCAGCTTCATTCTCTCTCTCTCTCTCAATTCCAGCCCCACCCCTCTCCACTAGTTTCCTGATCTCAATTCCTACATCCTTTTCCCTGTGACTTTCTGCTGCCTTTCTCTGCTTTCCCACTGCCCCTGCTGCCTCTCAGTCTCTTCGGCCGCTTTTCCTGTAATTTTCTGCTGTCCCCCTGCTTCCCACGATCCTATTGCCTTTTCCCTGTGACTTCATGCTGCCTTTCTCTGCTTTGCTGCTGCCCCTGCCGCCTTTCAGTCTCTCGTCCTGCTTTTTC